CCAGTTCATTTCGAATAAACGGACCAACAATTACATTAACAATTCCTCTGGCTTTTTTAGAACAGCATTTTACAAGCTTGTCAGACGCAGTAAAGTTATAAAAAAAAAATTGTTAAGAAATCCATTATTGTAAACGACAACGAGTAATGAACGTATTTTCTCGAATTTTTCGGGCGCTATATTTCTTGAAGAATCGTTGATTTTTATTTTTCTGGAAGGATTCTCATCAAAGTGTCTCTCCGCATTTATGTCTTTGGTAGTTTTAGCATGGCGGCTCAAATTAGTGGCATCATTAACTAACAGCTGTTGGCATAGTTTGATAGAGTTTATTAAACTCTTTTAACCAACTCCTGTTTGTTTCCCAGTCCGTTTTATACTTTTTCGAGTATTTCCTTTTAGTACAGGTATTTTAGCAAGAAGAAGGGAATGAATCGCAGGTATCAGTTTCATAAGAGGAAGTTGGAAGATTATTTTTCTTCAGCTGAACGGGCATATATTTTTGTTGCAAACATGGGTTGCCTTGTGCTCTTTTTTCACAAAAAAAAACTATAGAAAATCATAGTAGAAAGCATAGCCAATATCTTAAGAACTGCGTCTACCTGAAGGAAATTTGACTCAAGAAAATGTCTTAGATATCACTTGTGCGTCATTATATGGAGTTTTCGCTTTCCATTAGAGCTGCATACTGGCCTTAAGTGTTTAATGGAACGTTTTTTAAACAAACGTAATAATCTATTAATGAAACACAAAGCTACAATACAATTAAATCGTTAATTGGAAAAAATAATCGATTAATTTAATCAAATGATTAATCGCTGCCATGCCTACTCAGCCGAGTCTGACGCATTCCCGGAACAACTCGACCTTACCATTACTACCTTTTTTGGTTAAATAAATACTTATATTTTTTTTTTATTCGTGCAAAAAACCTGATCTTCCCTCTCACTGAGTTAATTATGATGTAGTTAACTGAATTTTCTAAATCCGAGCGTAGTATACAACGTGATTTGCTAAGTTAAAAATTCCACGAATCTTCCTCAAAGAACTGTCTAGACGAAATGATAAACAATTATATTCACTTTGTAGTCTACAGCCCGCGGGTGCCTTCGCGATATTAGTAGCCTAGTTATTCTCGGCTATCTCCAGGTGAATTAAGACTGCGTAGCATTCGATCTGCATTGCACTTCAGCGAAGCTGGTAATCCTTTCAATGACTTTTGCGTATGCGAGCTGAGGAAAAAAAATTCCTACGCTCTGTAATTTTTTAATTAAATACTTAAGCTTTGTACACACCATAAACCACAGCTACCATAGAATGCAGGATGGAAAAGAAAGTAGAAGTAGAAAGAACCTTTGCAAAAAATAAATGCGTTCATTGAGTATACGAATGTATCAAAATATGTACGTACGTACATATGTGATAAAACTCCTGCTAAAGTACATAGGTGCATACTGGGGCGTAGTCAGGATTTCGGATAGGGATGAAAAAACATTTACAGCGATAACTTGAAGGTGAGACACACAATGGCTAGAGGCGTTTCCTGTGTGTATTCTTTCGTACATATATAGGCCATGCTAAACACTATTTTTCCCACACGCTTATTCCCCACTGGAAACTTCGATTTGGCCAAACTGGTTACCTGTCTTAATGGTTGTGCCTTAATTAAAAAAAATAAAATTTTTAGTGTGCTTTCGGGGCCATTTTGTTCTTCTAAAATACTTATAAGTTATTTCATAGAGAAAGCGCTAGTATTTTGGCTGTTGGCAGACCGAGAAAATTGTGGTATTACTTTGGTCCAAGACGCATACCTAAAAAAAAAAACTCTCTTATAATAGTAGATAATAAATTATCAGACCCAATGTACACATGTGAAAAATTTAAGTCCAAATTTTAATGCTCTCACCCACTCGTTATTTCGAAATCAAAAAATATTTAGAAAACTTCTGTTTCTTTGCAGTAGATTCCAATAATAATAATACCCAATTTTTTATTATTATTTTATTTTTTCTATTTTTAAATACTAACTATTTTTTGTATGTTTTAGGTAAACTATAAAAAAATAGTTAATATTACGAAATAGTTAAGTAAATCGAAAGTTATTGATCTTCGAAAATCCCATATCATTTCTACGAAAATCTGTTTTTTCCCCCATATAAAATGCATGGAAAATTTTCAATGACCCCTAAATATTTTTTTTTATTTCAAAATAAAACAACAGGGGTGCATGTTTTTTCGGTGTAGAACGATCAAAGTGGATGAGAGCTTTAAGAGCCGGCTTCATCGGCTGAAAACCCATTTATCTTTTTCGCACGTTGGTCTTTCACACGGTCTTGAAAATGCCAATGTGTACGGAGTCAATATTCAAATGCATAATCCAAGAACCAATAATATAAAATATTTACAATATTTCTTTAATTAATTAAGAAAACATAAATCTGAAAAACCTTATGGTGTTGTATTATTAAATCAAAAGTAAAAACAGTAGTTTATTGACAAAGAGGGGGCATCTCCTCGCTCAATATCCGCCTGGCTACGCCACTGTATACAAACACACACAAATAGGTATACACAAACCAGCGTGCTGGAGTTGCGCATCTGTTAAAAAAAAAAATGCATTTATCTAAATGTGAAAAAATTCCATTCATCAAGTACCTATGTACATACAATCTTGTATCGGGCATAAAATGCTTCAAATTTCCTTCACGTATTTCTCTAAGCATTTACGCAAGCTTTTTTATAAATATTTACGTACACAATTAAATTTATACATACATACATATGTATATACGTATGTGCAAATTTTGATGGGAGTATGAATAAAAGCCTTTAAAGGAAACATTTAATACAAAAGAGAGATATGCATAAATAAATTTAAGAAAAAAAAATCCCCAACTGCGCATTCAAACATAACTGTATGTAGGCTGATAAAAATAAAATACTATAAGTAGATACCCTGCGGTCCTCTCTTTTGTGCGTCAACACATTATCATAACTGTCGACGGAGAGATAAGAAAATTTCAAATGTTTATTGCACGCACCACAGCACTCAAAATTGTGCATGAAAAAGTGCTTAAAATAAATAACTTTTGTTTACATAATTTCTCAGAAGCCTTGACAACTTTGAATATGTATTCACTACATTTACGAATGGCATTCGCGAAGGGGTTAAAAATATATATTTCAATTACTGAAAAGTCGGTTTCATTCGAAATCATTTACACAAATTTAAGAAGAATATGCAGCATCATTTAGATTTATTAAATAGCTATTGCGTCAATTGCTCTAGAAATAAGGATATTTTCGTATGTTAATGTCTTATTAACCCATTAAACATAAAAGTGACGTATACAGAATCAGGATTTTTTTTTCTAATTTTAACAGCAAAACTTACCTTTTATTATGTTGTTTTAGTAAGACTATGAATTATTATTAGTTAACCTCACAACTTCAAAATTCTTTCAAAAATATGCCAGGATTAAGTATAATTTAGCTCATAGGTTATCCTTTAATTCACATACGCCTCTAAGCCGTATATTAAGGCTTTACGTAACTCCCAAATAGATTAGACTTCTAGTGTTAATAAAAAAAATAAAGAATACTTTAAAGCGCAAAATGTTTAAAGGATCTTTATCGCAATATGGCTTTGGCAAATTTTATACATACTTTGTGTACAAACAGATCCGTATAATTCGTTCGGTTTTCAAAAATTATGCGTCAAATCAAAGGGCCTTCCGCGTAGGTTTTTGAAAGGGGTTGCCACATGTTGGAAAAATGAGATTCCAATAATCGAGTCCGAAGATTTTGGTGTTAAATATTTAACACCACGTCATCACATTAGTATCGTTCTATCGGTTTTTAAAAATTAGATTAGTTTTTTTTTTTTGAAACGGTTGCCATCTGTTTTGAAATTTAATTAAATCCAAATTATATAATAAGTTAAATGACTAATAATAATATGGGTATCAAACGAAACAGCTTTGAAAAGGCTTTATTTTTGACAGATATGCAAAATCGTTGCCACCTTTTGAAAAATTTGATTCAATTTAATTCATAAGTTAATTGATATAGATATGTAACACGCTGTCAAACGCATGAGATTTTAGAAAGTCTTAGTGTAAAAATACTTCTGTAGGGCGTTGCCACATGTATGAAAAGACGAATTATTATACAAAAATATTTAAATGTGAGTGTCAGATGAAAGAGTTTTAAGAAATCTTTGGCTGAAACAATTCAAATATTTTTAAATTATTTTAAGAGCGCGGTAAATTTATTTATTAAGTCAAGTCAATCGAAACAGCTTTGAAAAACCAAAGGTGCAAGTTTGAAGTAGCTAGGGCTTACCTTTGATTACCGGAATTTTTTTCTGGTGGAACATTCTTTGTATGGAAGAAAGTGTGTTAATAAAATATTTCCGAAAATCAAACTTGCACTTTAATATAGTAAAACTTAAGGGACAACAAAACTGCATATTCAATAAAATTCTAAAAAATCAGATTAAAAAGTTTCAAATTTTGATGGGCATTTGTTAAAATTCGCCAAGTTTTTTATGAATATTCTACCAAGTTTTAAATATATGTTTTTTTTTAAATAGTAAGCTACACTTTCTTAAAACATGATAAACATTTTTGAAATAAAGTAAAATAGCCAAAACTTGCTAAATTGTCTATTCCTCATTTACATTTTCTCCACCATATGTATGTATACTATATTAGAAAGGGTATTTCTAACTTCTTTCATTCTGAGTGGGGACTTCAAGCACTCAGTTTTTTTTTTTTTTTGACTCGCTTAGCTTATTTCTGGTCTTTTATTTCTATCTTACACTTTCAAAACATCTTTTCCCCATTTCTTGTTTTACGTTTGCAATACATTTTTAACCATTTAAATCCATAAAGCAATATTTTTTGTGTATCAGACCATTTATTAACATATATGTATTTATGTAAATCGCATTCTTGAAATGACTAAACTCCATAGACAATAGCGCATTCCCATCACCATTTTCAGACAGCACCATAACCGTAGGGTGCAGAGCTGCGAACAGGTACATAGTATTCACCTGAAACCACGTACGCATTCGTAACTCCACCCATTTTCACACCACTGTATGTACTGCCACATGACTCCTTCACAGCTTCCTGATAGTCTCCACAACGGTTGCTGGGAAAACTATCACGTGCCACTGCCTCTGCGTAGTAGGCCCAGGAGCGAGCATGATCACAAGCGCCAGTCAAATCCCAGACACAGCCAGGTTGACTCTTGCCGCCATTTGGATAAAAAGCGCCCTTACCAATTGGTTTCAGAAAACCCAATTGCCCACCATTGGTATGAATGGACTCCACGTAGGCGGCATCATCGGAACTCAAACGCTTTTTCGGCTTGCTATAGCTGAAGAGTGGCAGAGCGGTATCCAAACCAGTAATGGCATGCAGCTGACCGCCTTCAACATTCTTACCAGCATAACCAGCTACATGAGCACCCAAACTGTGGCCAATCACCTCAGTCGTATCCAATGACATACCATGATCCTTTACCAAGTAATTTATCATGGACGCAACTTTCTTGCCCGTCGCCGACACAGCCGATACAGCGGTCGCATATTCGCCACGAGCGCGTCCCCAATCAACGACGATTACATTGTATTTGCCACGGGCCAACCAAGCAGAGCGTATATGATCGTTCATGTCGGCGGAGTAGCTCTGTAACCAGCCATGAATCACAAATCTGTAGGGTATAATAGAAGAATATGTAATTACATATTAAGCGATTCGAGCCGGATAATCGTTATGTTTTTTTTTTTTATGAAATTACCTCGTCGGATTGCTTGCATCAAAATCAGAATTTCCAATTGATGTTGCAGTTGCGGTAATTTTTTGTTTTTTGGTTGGGTTTTGGTTTGTATATAAGTAGAAGGTCACAGGCACTGTTGAAAGTCGACCTTCGATTTCTTGTTGATTTTCTAATTCCTCCAACATGTTTTCGCCCTCGTCAATCGATATCCATTCAAAGGAGCCATCAGCATTGGGTACATACCACCCATTCTCGCCGTTGACACGTTCTTCCTCCGGAATGGGACTAGAAGAGGCTAAGGACGAAAATTGTTGAGCTTGTTTCACTAATTTCTAAAATTTCTACACTTCAGCCGTATAATTACCCGTCAGCACACAGATTGCTGCAATCCAAAATACCTTCATTGCACAGTTATACTCAAATACGAATAAATTTTAGCTGCACTACCAGCAGTTTATATAGTACGGCCCCCATGTTAACTGCATCTGATAACAACTGATTTTTTAATCATTAAAACAAATTAGCTAAATTTACAATTGGTCAGTATGCATTTGACATGGTCATTTTATTGCTACTGATAAAATATTTTTAGAACCTGAGGTAAGTTTAATATTTGGCAAAACATTGATTTCCTGTGATGAAACATTTATTATTTATTTACAACGAATTTTCTCCGAAATATTTTTTTTAAATTACTTTTAAGTTTTTGATAATGATCATTTCGCTTTTGGTTAGTTGGAATTTTAATACTACTAATTACATACCAAACTTATTACAGTCAATTATCTGATAAATTGAATAACTGACTTTCGTGTTCACACTCAATCAGTTTATCCAATCCGTATTTGACTAGCTAAGACTTCTGAAACAGCTGGCCAGCCTCCTAAATATTGTCAAGAAATAAACAAATTTCTCGCGTCTGATATTGTGTTACCTACATATTTCATGCGCCTGATGAATTAAGCTAAATTTGATTTTTTAAATACGTGACAACGTTCCTAAATATATATCACAAATTAAACCTTTTAAACCCATTTCATTTGGTATCCGTACTTTTAATAATTGCTTTAATTTATTAAATAATTTGAGCCTACCTTTTTAAACAAGTGGCAACCCTCTTTAATGTTCTAAATATTCAAACTAAGGATACCTTACCACCTTCATTTCACGTCATATTTTAATATTTCATTTCGCTTATGCCTACTTTAATTAAATTCTAATTTTAAAACTTATGGCAACCCTATTCAAAATATTTTAAAACCAAAATCTTGTTAAACCTTTTTCGGCTTACACACATATGGCAATACAAATTTAAATTGGGTATATAATTCACTTAACTCAAGTTTAATTTAATTTCTATAACATATGGCAACCCTCTTAAATAAAGTTCAGAAGAAAATATTTGTAAGCCATATCAATTTATACTCATACTTTAATAATTTATTTGACTTATTAAATAATTTGAGTTTAATTTTTACACAGATGGAAACCCTTATAAATTTTATAAAAGCTCAAACTAAATATTTCTTAATACTCCTTTGTTCGACGCCCATATTTCATATAAATTAATTTTAATCGACTTTGAAGAGAGATGGCAAACCTGTTCAAATTTTTTTTAAACCAAAACCTCGTTAAACCTTTTTCGCGTGACACTTGTATTTTGATATATATTTAAATAATCTAGTACTCTTAATTCAAATAGAAATTAATTATAAAATCAGGTGACAACGCTCCTTCATGCAGTTTGGAAATTTGGAAAGTTTTTTAAAAGCATTTTTGATTTATATTCATATTGAATCTAACTTTGTAACAATGTGGCAACCCTCTGCAAAATATTTTCAAACCACAACCTCTTTCGTCTGGCATTCACATCATTTTCATTTTAATTCTCTGCATTTCTCTAAGTCGAACTTACTTTTTGAAACAAGTGGCAACCCTCCTACATTTAATTAAGAAATAAAGCCCTGATACTATAAGTGTAATAAAAGATTTAACTAAAAAATAACAGGAATTTAATTTTTTTACCAGGGCGCAACTCTTTTTGAAAAAATAAGAGGTTATTGCACATCCACTGGCCGAGAGAGTTTTCGAGAATTTAGGTAATAAAAAAAATTTTCTAATTTCTTCAAAAATTTGTTGCCTTAAAATGCGCAATATTTGTTGAATTTGTAAAAAAAAAATTTCGTGATAATATGTATTTCTGTTGTTCCAAAGAACTTATATCCCGAAGAACCTATATACGACCGAGTTGCAGAATAGGGGTGAAGGAATTCACTAGCGGCGTTGCTTGCAGCGTTAATTTTACATGATCTATAAGCCTTTTATAAGGTAATTATACACTATATAATACCTTATTATAAGGGATTATGTAAGCCTTATTTTACATGAATTATAGACTTAGGCATAAGAGTATCTCTCAGAGAAGGAGAGCAAACCTTATGAGCCGATGACATCAACACAACGAAAGCAGTTGTGGAATAAGGAATGTTTCATACAACTGACTTTTCTAACAGTTTTCAGACATTAAAATTTAAACCTTATGATCATATAAAATAAGTTTTATATAAAGCGCAAATTTTTTGGGGGGATTCACTATAGCTGACATGAGATGGCGCACAAATTTTGTGTGGTATTTAAAAGAAACGAAACACCGAATTTATAATGTTGTGATAGACGGAAGACGGAAGACGAGCCTTTTAGATGTCCATTCTATGCGAGGAGCAAACAGAGAAGGAAAATAAGGGCAGAATTACGTGACTGCGAAGAACTTCAGCTGCTGTCAGATAATACTGTGGTTCGAAAATTCGACCAGAAAATAAGGCATCAATCACATGATTTCAATACCGGAGCTGATTCCTGTAGAGACGAAGATGGAAATCTGGTAAAAGATGCCCAATGGAGTAAATTGCGAAAATTTCGATTATTTTTACCACTTTTTCAAAGTTTCCGGAATTAAATAACTCGAAATTTAGGAGGTGTACGTGTCAAACAGACCTCAGATTCAGATTCAGCGGGTCGAGGGGTGAAACGAACCTCTGAGTAAAAGCAGTGTTATTAACTATCAGTACGAGAACAAATCTAGCGCGAGCATTTCCTATGATGACGTCACACGAACAGCTGATTCTGCCAAATTCGCCAAACACAAAGTAGCGGTACTGCTGAATGCGCCACTTCTCTGCAGTTATTCTACATACATACGTAAGATTTATAACCCTGTTCGCGTGTGTGACAAGTACCGAAGATATGTAGTACATATGTATTTATATTTAAGCTGTATTAA